ACAGGAGCTGATCAATAATACTTCTCTGGCAGAGTTGGAAAAACAGCTGAAGGAAACCCCCTTTAAGTCGCCACAAGTCGGTGAGGAAATACACTGACCCCAACCATAAACAAAAATATCCAATAAAACAAGAAAAAAAAAAAGAAATCCTGCTGACATCTTTCCTTCCCTCTCCTTGTCAGAAACGGCAGAGGGCTTCCCCAGCTATGACACGGCCCAGGAGCAGCTCCACGAGGCGGGGTATGATGCCTACATCACTGGCCTGTGTTTCATCTCCATGGCCAACTACCTGGGTAACGCACAGTCACACTGGACCTGTTTACAAATGAAGAACAGTGTCTTGAATACACGCCATTTTAACTTGTTCTGCTTGACATGCCTTTGCAGGTTCTTTCTTGACTCCACCTAAAGCTTACATCTCAGCCCGCTCAAAACTAATTGAGCCTTTCTTCAACAAGTAAGCGATGCCTAGAGTTTGTTGAATTCATTGAATAATTGCTCAAGGTGTTTTTGTAATGTTCCTACTTTGTTTTCTAGGCTTTTCCTGATGAGGATTATAGATATACCCTACCTCAACATCACAGGACCAGACTGTGAGTCGCCTAACATCCAGTTTTTTGGGGTGTTTTTTAATGGTTTTGGCTCACTAGATGCTTACATTTCTTCAAACCTTTTATGCATGGCTGTTTTTTAATTATTACTTAGAGCTGTTACTCTATAATCGGTTGTGAACAAAACAAAATGGGCAATTAAAAGCTGTGCAGAGCTGCACAGATGGCATTATTTCCTATTTGATTTCGCACTTGAGTTGACCTTTCACATTACACTGAGTAATTTCATTCATTGCTAAAATAAAGCAACTTAGCTTGGATTGAAATTAAAACTGCACTCGTCACTTCTCCACTTCATGTTTCCCTTCGATTTCTGCTGCTCGTACAGTGCAACCCAAAAGAGACCATGTCCTGTATGTCACCTTCCCAAAAGAATGGAAGACCAGTGACCTCTACCAGCTCTTTAGTGCCTTTGGTAAGACATCTTTAAGCATGTTACATCTACTTTCAGACATGTATTACCTGCTGTTTATCCTGTATCCTCTCATTTATCCACTCAGGAAACATCCAGGTTTCATGGATAGATGACACATCAGCTTTTGTGTCCCTGAGTCAGACGGACCAGGTACAAATAGGTAAGCATGACACTCCAGTTGAGTACACGCTCTGAACTGGGCTCGGCACAAAAACATCTCAGACAGTATTAATATCTTTGTCATTGTGCAGCTATGAACACCAGCCGCTATGCAGAGAGCTACAAGATCCAGACATATGCAGAGTACATCCAGGCTAAAGACAAGGACAAGCCTGGCCAAACAGCCAAAACCTGGGGCGAAGACGGCTGGGTGAAATCTCACTACACCTCCTCCACTACTTCTGGGTTTGGATACCCTAGGTACGCCTGCGCTGCTGCATACTACATTTTTCAGCGTAGCATTCTGTATATTTGTGTAGTAGTTTCAGCGGGTGGCACACGCTCTGTTTACACTGATATGTCTGGCCTATTTTTTTTTTCCCGTTCTAGGTTGAGGAAACGCAGCATCAGTCCCGTTCAGGGAGAGCAGGGAACCGAAGAGGCTCTAATTGCAGACGGCTGGAGTCACTACTCATACCCGGATAGCACCGGCAGCAAGAAGATGAGAACTGATGGTGTGTGAATTCATGAGTGCATTTGTACTTTCCTGCTGCAGCGTGGTAGCATGCAGCAGGTTTCCCCCTAGGAAAGTACTTAGCAGAGTTACAGCGTGCCCTGAGGCAAAGGGCACAGCCAGAGACGTAAAGTTAGGGAAGCCTTGGTAATTTGTTTAACATCAGATGTTTATATTTTATTAATGACCACCTGCTCCAGAGCAGATGGGTCAGATGCCTTCTTAACTGACAGCATTGTACCCACAGACATTTATCCTGGAGAGTCCATTGAAGGAGCACATGAAGTATTCACTACAATGCATCTTTGGTTTTCCTTGTCCTCTCTTCTAGTTGTGCCATTTTGTAGTTGAGGATACAGATTGGTGACAAATTTAAAGGAAAAAGAACAACATAAAGGGTCATGTTGGGCCACTATGTTCTCTACTGTCCTCAATTGGTGTGCTGATGGTGGTGGAGGGTACTACCCCTTACACATTGGTCCAAAATCTCCCATAGGTATACAGTTGGTTTAGATCTGGGGAATGTGAAGGCCACAGCATATGATTCATATCCTCTTCATACTCAGTGAGTCTTTATGCTCCTATAGATGAAGGCATTGTCGTCCTAGAAGAGACCACTCCAGTCATAGAATAGAAATGTGGTGTTTCCTCAGAACAAAGGTGATCATTAGAACAACGCTGTATTGGTTTGCAGTGACTTTGCCCTCTAAGGGGGCAAGTGGACCTAAACCAGCAAATCTCCATCCACATGACAGAACCACCAGATCAGACTTTTCCGTTAATTCGTCACCTGTCTGTATGTGTCCATTTACTGTTAAGATTTCTTCGGCATTATCGAGTCATTTTGTCTCGCTTGTCGTTAAATACGATGTGTTAGGCATTTGGTTAAACCTTTTTAACTTGTAAAGCTCAACCTTAAGCTTGCATTCAGCATAAGGAGATCTAATTCAGGATCTTCTGCACTGGTTGTCACTGTTTTGTAGATCCAAGCAGACAGGCCAATGCAGAAGCTGTCCAGAGCAAGACGTCAGAGGGATGGCTTAAGACAACGTAAGTGTTTTTTCTTTTATTATTATTTTAAAGAAGCAGTGACCGCACTTATGCTGTCACTATTGTCCTGTTTGTTGGCGTTTTAAGCCCCTTTTAATGGACGCTGTGTTCTGCAGAGATGCATCCAATTCGGCTGAGTTGAGCCCAGCCCCTGATGACGATAAAAGTTCTGGGAGCACAGATCCAGGCAGTGATGCTGAGGGGACGATCACTTGGCAGCAAACCTCAACGGTCCAAGGGAGGAAAGGTCAAAAGAACAAGAAAAAGAAATCTGAAGGTGTGTTGTGTTCATTTATGCATTAAACCTGTTGGGTTGACAGATTCTGAATGAATCAATGTACTGAAATGTGGCTTTTGTCGTCATTTGAAAATGTGTCTTCGTCTTCTTGTACAGCAGCTGAATCCACGACCTCCTTGTTTGAAGTCCCAGAAGTCTGGTAGCGAGAGGCGAGGAGTCAAGAGGCCACTGTCCCTCACTGGGTTCCTGCTCAGGGTCTCTTCAGAAGCACTTGGGGCGCTCTCCTTCAAAGTCGTACAGCACTGGGAGTGGTGCATGCCCTAAATTCATTCGTTCACTCAGCAGCTGTGGATACCGTGTCCAAAGCTACCAGCCCAGCCACTTGACTGGACTATTGAAAGAGACAACACAAGCCATAACAACAGCTGCCATATTTTGATGTTACGCCAGAGGAGCAGGCAACTCTTCTTGGTAAACCACACACACACACACACACACACACACACACACACACATACAGGCCACTAGATCTTGTAAATCTTAACTAGAAAACTGTTCATTTATTCTATGATGTGATCAGACTGGAATCTGCCGCCACAGTCATGCTGTCACTTTGAAATCATTCATGAATTTTATTGACACGGTCACCTCTCAACAGTCTTATATTTCATGAGTGTGAAGCGTGTTTGTGCGAATGCGTGCATGTGAGGGAGATGTACGTTTTCTTTAGTCTTTGTATCTGTGAATTTGATTCATCAATCGTAAAAGATAAAATACCACTTGACAGGTCCTGTAGTTTACAATGTCAGGGTTACTTAGTATTTTAATGCAGTCAATTATTTTTCCCATTTTAAAAATTGAGTTCTGTCAACTTCTCAAGTTTTATCAGACATATATAAGCTCATCAATGATAATGTGATATTTATTATTGGTGGCATTTTGACCCTTCATGAGAGGTGCTGGTTTGTTCTGTTGTTTTGTGTACAGAATCGTTTTCCTTTACATTTTTGTGTTCAATGTTTTGTAACTGTGTCAACCTGCAACAATTTCAGAGTATGTTCTAATGCAAAATGTGTAAACGTTAAGTAAACGGATACTTTTTTTTGTATAAGATAAAGTTTAAAAATCCTTAAATATGGGAAAAATTAAAGAATGTTTCTTAGTAATTTGTTTCCATCTCTTCTGTTCCCAAACCGACCTTTTGCCGAGTTAAAATTTGGTCTCTGCACTGTAACATTCACATTAGGGCACGACTTGTTAATAATAATTAATTTTATTTGTATAGCGCTTTCCAAGAACTCAAAGACGCTTCACAGGATAAAAGCAATAAACAACTAATACAAAAGTAGACAACAAAGAAATACAGCAAGCAGATAAAAACAACACTAAATGTCAAGATAAAGGCCTAGGTGGGAAAAGCAGAGCGGAACAGGTGAGCTTTTAATTTAGATTTGAATATTACTGGGTGTGTGGTGTCACACATACGTTGTGGAAGAGAGTTCCAGAGGGTGGGGGGCGACGGCGGCAGAGAAGGCCCTATCCCCCCAGGTTCAGTGCTTGGTCCTGGAAATGATCAGGAGGTTGGAATTAGCGGAGTGGAGGGTACATGAAGGGGTGTGGGGGGGGAGCATGGTTATGGAGTGCTTTATGGGTGAGTAGAAGGATTTTGAATTTAATGCGGTAGGCGATGGGAAGCCAGTAAAGGTTTTGAAGGACAGGGGTGATGTGGTCTCGGGGAGGCGGCAGAGTTTTGGATGTATTGTAGTCTATTGAGGAGGTTGGTGGAGGTTGATACACAGACTATGAACTATGCACTTGTTTATCCACATGCTCCAGTTTAGAGGCTCTAACGCTGGTAAAACCATAAGCTGGTGTTGCTAAACAGCATTCAAAAAAAAAAAAAAAGCTCTTGGAACTTTTACTTGACACGTTTAAATAATCTTTTGACTCAAATTTGGACTTATTTTTTCTTTTATTGTCACCTGTGTGTACTTAAAAAGTCAGACACAAAAATTGGCATTTGAATAGGTTTATTCACACAGTACCAAAATTACAAATCCAATGCATATTTAAAAATACAGCAGTCTCTTTAATTGTTGAAGTGATAATTCACTGCAGTACATTAATAGTATTAATTATGCATCGACTCGTCTGTGACAATAGGTGCTAGACTTACTGAACTATTACTCAGCGTGTGAAGCACTGAGTTCTGTGCATTGTTCAGTTTTTATGATTGTACCCATACTGTACAAGTGAAGTTGATTTTGTGTAGTATTGTTAATCCAGTAGTTATACACAGCTCCTATGTGCTTAATTTGTACTTCCAGACCATAACTAATTATGTTACAGCTAAAATTGTCTTAATGTGCAAAATACTGCTTGTAGTTTTTTTTTCAGTAAAAACATGTCTGAGGATGTCCCACTAAAACACAAAGCATCTTTTCTATTGTCTTTAAATGATTTAATTCCTCCAGGTGATGACAGTTAAGGCATCCCGGAACCTGCAGATGTTTAGTTGGTGCAGGTTTATGCTCGGTTTCCTCGAGACCCTTGCTTGACCTCCATTAGACACAACCCAGGAAAGTGACCATTCATGCTGAGGAAGAGAACACAAGGAGGAAATGGTTCATAAATATTTAATTGGAGAACAAATTGAGCCAGAAACACTGTAAGAGTCCTCACCTGGTTTGTCCGAGCAGCACAACCACAGACAAGGTGCCGTCTGGGAGAGATCTGAAGAGTTTTCCCAAGCGGCAGTCCAGCTTCTTCATCGTGAGATCCATTTCCTGGTCCTACACATAGTACACATTGGGGGCATCATTACATATGTGCTGGACACCGGAGCTATTCTGAAAAATCTGATCATTTTCCATCCAAATTGGATTCATACACAGAGATTAAAAAACACTGTTTATGGAGTAATTCTGTAAACTGCTGCTACTCGCCTTAAACTAATGGACGTAGTAAAATTCATTCCACAGGACGGTTGTAATACACACCACTATGAGTTACATAACAGTTGGATGGTCATCAACACACCTTGATTCATAGGACCTTGTATCTAAATGTCTAAGATACCTAATCCTTCAGTAATAACCACAAGACCTGGAGGAATAGGTTTTTAAAACTCCTACCAACTCTAAACTGGGACAGATTATTCTTTGTACTATGCACCTTTCTACTGGCTCTACAATCACTTCAGAAAGTGTTAGATAGCATTTTTGAACACTCTGCTGCTCTCATTACAACCATATTAAGACTCTTAATTCAGTACTTTGTAGAAGCTCTTTTGACAGCAGTTACAGCTTTAGGTCTTCTTGGGTAAGTCTCAACAGGCTGTGGAGATGTCAGACCGGGCAGTTTATTCCATTCTTTCTGGCAGATCCTCTCAGGCTGTCAGATTGGATAAGAAGCGTCTGTGAACTGTCATCCTCAGGTCTTTCTATAGATGTTCTGTGGGGTTTAAGTCTGAGCTTTGGCGAGACCACTGGGACAGACAGAGAGCTGTACCACCCAAGAGTTGTCTTGATTGTTTCAGGTCACTGTGGTGCTACAAGGTGAACTGTTGCCCCGTACGCTGCAACAGGTTTTCCTAAAGGACCTCGAGGTATTTGGTTGCATTCTTCCTCCCCTTATCTCAGTTTCCCCGTCCGTGTCACTGATAAGTACCCCCATAGCATGACGCTGCCACCACCATGCATCACTGTCGGGATGATTATGCCCCTGCCCTGATCTATGATCCACCACAGTTCTACAGAGAGTTCTTCGGCCCGGTGTTTGTCTTGACATGCAGTGTAAATGGTGGGACCTTAGATATATCAGCAGAAGAAAATTCAGTTTACCACAGATGGATTCCAGTGTCATTGTAGACACATCTCAGGAATAAATAAAACAAACAGGATAAACGTGGAGACAATTTGGAGCCACAGAGAAAAAGACAATATCTTTAAAAATCAGGTTTCAGCTTTTGCTTTGTGAGAAATCTGTAAACATTGCTAAATGCATGCTTTCACTTTGTCATTATGGGGTACTGAGCGTAGATTAGTGGGAAAAAAATGTAAATTCTCTCAATGTAAAATTAAATCAGGCCCCCATGACGCTAATGGATGGATCTAGGAACGGACAGTGCTCTGCTGGTGTACAGCTAATTTTTGTCAAAAGCAAAAGACGGACTAATGATGACAAAATAAGCCTCATAAGTGGACCTTGAAAGTGGACAGCGGATGCAAATGCAGGTCTATTCATACAGATATTCTATCATTTGGGGGGAAAAAAATAGTAGAGAACAGTGTTGTGTGTGCACTTAAGGCAGACAGTGACTTAGAAAGCAGACAGCAGATGCACATGTTGTTCTGTTTGTACTACAGCAGCTACATGTTGGCAGTCACACTACCCATCATGTCAAACACAGAAAAAAAAAACCAAAACAGCGCTCCCACCGATGTTTGTTAAAGGCTGTGACTTTGCATGTTTTACAGGATATTGCATCAAAGCACCTCCAAAGTGACTTCTTCAAATACGACTGTTTTAATGATCAAATGCTAACATGTGGATGACTTTTAACTCCTCACAACAAGCACTTCTAATTTGTTTTCCTGGCACATGTGCAGTTTTTGGAGACTTGGGTGGATGACAGCACCCTTCCGTCAGTCGTTAGTCTAGATATCCATTCATTCATGATCTATACACCGCTTAATCCTCACTAGGATCGTGGGGGACAACCTGGACAGGTCGCCAGTCTATCGCAGGGCTACACTTAGAGACAGACAACCAAGCACACTCACATTCACACCTACAGACAATTTAAAATCACCAATTAACCTCAACAAGTTTTGGGACCTTGTGGGAGGAAGCTGGAGAACCTGGAGAGAACCCACGCTGCACAGGGAGAACATGCAAACTCCACACAGAAAGATCTCGGATGTCCTCACCGAGACGCGAACCGGCGACCTTCTAGGCAACGATGCTAAGCACCGAGCCACCTTGCAGCCCTGTCTGTTCCTAAGGCTAGAACCAAACGGGGAAAGAAAGCTTTTAAATTCGCTGCCCCCTCGACCTGGAACACATTGCAAAAAGACCTGAAACTTCAAGAGCTGGTCTCTTTAAACATGTTTGAAGTGTTCCTAAATGACTTGGAGGCAAAATCATCAGTCTGTAGATGTTTCGACAGATGATTACTTTGCTAGTTATGTTTCGGATCTGTACTGATTTCTTATCTTCAATATGTAATCACCATGTATTATGAGTGTGATGTCTGTGCGGATGCTGTTGTGACCTTGTCTGTCTGTCAATTGTGCTGCTGCCTGTCTTGGCCAGGACACTTCTGTAAAAGAGATTCTTAATCTCAATGAGCCTTTTCCTGGTTAAATAAAATAAACAAATGAGCAAAATTCCACATCTTCCTAGCATTTCTGTTCTGTATTTTGTCATACCTGTGTTATGCATCCATTTTATTATGATAAAATAAAACCAAGCCAAACTTTTCGAAAGTATTTTTTAAAAACAAGGAAAAACTCAAGAGTCTGTGGCAATATTTATGGCCTCGGGCAGCTGCAGTGCTCAGAGCACACCAGAAAACAACAGTGCTGAATAGACAGACAAGCATTCATCAGAGTGTTACCAAAACATTTAAACTCTGAAAAAATCTCGTGTTTGTCGTCTCAGGCTGTTCTTTCAGTTTAATGATGAATAAACTTATGAACTCAGAACTAACATAACACGATAAAATCTGTCATGGCATATTGTGAACATATATAGTCATCTAAAACGTGACAAAAATTATATGTGACAAATAATGTGACATATGACATTTCACAGTGATCCACATTTCAGAATGTGTTATAGCTAAGTTAAATCAGTACAGAACTGACTTTACCTGAAAACTGTGGTGCACGTTGGCTGTGTCCTTGTCCTCCGCTGCTTCCTCATCAGCATCAACTGTGGTCACTGGCATTGCCATGGCGACCCATGAGGACAAGTGGGATGGAGTTAAAGATTGACAGATGAGGTAGTTCTCTTTCCGTAGATCCTCAGATGAACTGAGAGCTGCATGTTTGCCCTCTGAACTCTCAAACTCTGTCAAACAGAGATGTACACAAACTCTGTATGAACTCCCACATACACAGTGCAGCGAGATAGAATTCATTACATAGTTTTTTTTTACTCACGTATACGTGCATGTCGTGCGTGTTTTGCAGGTTTGACCGGCAGGGTGACTCTCTCCACCGTACCAAAGTGACTAAATGTCTCCCTGACTGTCTCCTCAGACAGTTTAGATCTGGTCTTGGTGAGCTGCAGCTGACTTGTTTTCGCTGCCTGCAAACCGTTTGCTGCTTTAACAGGAGAGACACCAGAACATTCAGCTTCTAGCGTATGTCCGTTAACCTTCACAGGTGTCTTTATGCATTCAGCCGCGCTGGGGTTCAGTTTAACAGCATAGAGGTGAGTCGTGTTCAGAGTGTCACCCATTATAGCATCAAGAGTCAGATCCAGGTCCAGCATTGACTCATACACAGGCCTCTGCACCTAGAAAAGAAGAAATATTGACTGTCTAGAAAGGTTCGGATGATGAAAAGGGAAGAGAAGCAAAAGAAAAAAGGGAAGAGAGTTACCTTCATGGACTGTCCAAGCACATTAAGTCCATTCAGAGCTTTTAAAGCCAGCATTGCTCCCTCTAGCAGCTCAAACTCGACCTCTGCATGGACCTGCAGACCGAACATCATCAGAAAATGGAGGTAAAGTAAATAAAGAAAACTGAAAAATAGGAGAGAAAAAAATCTAAACAATTACACAGCTCTAGTTTAATAGCAACCGAAGCAGCATGAGGGCAGTTGATGAGACATACTCTGACACTTGAGTTCAGCATTTTAATTCTTCTAACTGGTCCACAGCAACAAAACAGGCGCCTCACTTCTCTCTCGGAGAAACCTGCAGGGAACGGCCCAGCAAACACCACACACATATCCCGAAGATTGGCACACACCTGCAGAATAAACACACACAGTGAAGAGTGCGTCCACACGGGATGCTGCAGAACAATACATGTTTGGAGTTAGTGTCTCACACTCCGGTACTGCTGCTGCTCCAGATGAGGGAAGCACCTTTTCAAATGGTCTGAGAAGGAAGAAAACTGGACGACAGAGAGGAAAGGATGCTTTGTCTGTCTCCTGAAAGATACCAGCACCTGAGAAGGAGAGGAGGAAGAGTTTAATGATGGATAGTGAAGGCAAATGAGGAATGAAGCCAAACATAGAGGGGAACGGATGCAAAGAAACAGAAAGGTAGACGGAAGGCAGTAGCCTGTCACTGCTGGTTTGATTGAAGATACTCTGGTGGCACAGTAGACTGATACTGATGTATATTCACCTACAGTTTAATCAGTGATAATCAAATGCATCTCCTGAGCCAAAGAGTAAACGTATTAATCTGCCTTCATATTGTCATTTTATTGTCCATTGCTAAATTATGTAGAAATGTCATGAAAGATTCAAAACATTCAAAACTTAATGAATAAAAGGCTGCTGATGTCTAACAAACGGGTAAATCTGCAAACTTGCTGAAAACAAAAACACATCGATTATTATTCCAAGGAACAACAAAAACAACAACATGCTTATTTGGGGTTCAGACCAGAGTTTGATCAGGTTCAGTAAACTGCCCCCTGACTTCTCACCTCTTTGTCAGAGCCATGCCACTGCTGGTTGGACAGATTCAGGGCGATATCAGAACGCTTTCCTAAAAAGACTACTGACCGGCCGAGTGTCTGCAGCACGTCAGCAAACCTGCAAAGAAAGAAAAACTAAGAATCCATCGAGTAAAGCAGCAGAAGAACCTGCAGCGATGTTGGTGTCAATGAACAACATTAAATTAGTCACTTTTGAAAGAATTTTAATGCTTTCGTTAAGATTCTCACACCAGGTTTTCAAGAAAGCTTTAAAAATCAGGAACCCTTTCATTGTAGATTAAATTATTTTGCAGTCATTGATGTATAAACAGAAACTTTCAGGCAAAAACACACTAAATAAAAGAAATCATTAGTCACTCAAGCTTCACACTGTGTCCACAACGCTTATATTTCTGATTTTTTTTCTGTGTTTTACATCATTACTTTACAAAACATACATTTCATCAATTCAAACTGCAATGTGTGGACTGTAACGATTATTGATTAGTCATCAAGTATTAAATTTATTTCCAGCTGCTTTGATAATCAATTAATCAGTTCGATGTATTGGGAAGAAAAAGTCAAACATTTCTAATTCCTGGTTCTTAAAGTTGAATATTTTCTGTCTGTGTTACTAAACTATGACATTATATGTGGATATGATGGGCTGCAATGTGGCTCAGTGGTTAGCACCGTTGCCTCGCAGCAGGAAGGTCGCCGGTTCGCGTCTAAGTGAGGACACCCGGGATCTTTCTGCGTGTTGCATGTTCTCCCCAGGTTCTCCGGCTTCCTCCCACACAGTCCAAAACATGTTGAGGTTAATTGGTGATTCTAAATTGTCCGTAGGTGTGAATGTGAGTGTGCTTGGTTGTCTGTCTCTAAGTGTAGCCCTGTGATAGACACCTGTCCAGGTTGTCCCCTGCCTTCACCCTGAGTCAGCTGGGATAGACTCCAGCCCCCCGTGACCCTAGTGAGGATGAAGCGGTGTATAGATAATGGATGGATGCGGATATGATATTATTACACTGCCACATAATTGTTGAGCCTGCTAAAAACTGCAAAATGTTCCTTTGTGCATGCTGCCCTGCTGTCATCCACCTAAACTTGTGTGTCTGTGAATGAGCCTCTATGCTTTGTAGCACCACGAGCCTCCTAAATTTGCACCCAAACTGCTGCAAATTCTCTTTTGTAATTGCCAAACTGAAAATCTTTGGACTGTGGACAAAACAAGACATTTAACGACGCCTTTTGGGGGTTCAGGACGTGCTGACTGACATTTTTCACTGTTTTCTGACATTTTATACACTAAACAGGTGATCAATTAATCAAGACTTTAGTTGACACATTAATCTGCAATGAAAACAATCATTACATGCACCCCAAACTTATGACTTTCTATCCATCCGTGACAGAGTTTGTTTTTTAAAATGCTCCATTTTTTTGTGTGGGAAACAAGTTGCCTTGGTACGGAAGTGGAAAAACCCAAAGGAAAGCTATTGTTATACTCAGCTCAGCGTGAACATGGTCTGAGTGATGGCTGTAAGATGTCGAGAATACAAAGAGAGTGTGTAACGTGTTGTACCTGTGACTTGGTGTGGGAGCAGATTTGGCAGATTTGCAGTCAGAGGACTCCTCCTCCTCTATTGTGTATCCCCACAGCTCCTCCAGATGAAGCTCCACAACCTGACAGCCAGCGTGCACAGAAAATGTTGTATTATCTGTTTGTGTGTGTGTGTGTGTGTGTGTGTGTGCCTTAGACAGTGCTGCTTCACTACCTGACGAGGTCCTGTTTTGATGAAGTACTGGGCCAGCTCCAGGGCTGCCACAGCATCCTCAGTGGGATTATGACCCTTCTTCTCTTCAGTTTGTATTTGCCTCCTAGGACACAAGTGAAAAATTTAATTATTACCTGTGGTAGGAGTGAGAGAGAGAGACACACACACACACACACACACACACACACACACACACACACACAAACACACAGAAAACAAGAACTCACTTCAGCACCGTCTCGGCCAGAACCTTGAGCTTAAACCTCTGACCGAACTCTCTCCTGTACAGTAGCGAAGTGTCAATTACATGCTGGTGGATGAGCTGCAGGGAGGACACAGACACAATGCGGGTCAAAACCTTCACCCAAGACGTTGCATCGATATTTCAAGAGAGCCTCTCCAAAATGAAATAAAATAAAATACGTGACTACTGCTGGAATAAAGGGAATAAAATGACATCTCTTTACTACTAACCATGTCGAATGAAGCTGGATTCATCAGTTTATTTTGTAGTTGATGCAATGTACATGTTTAAAGTAACCAAACACAGTAGCATGGGGAAAATCTATTAAAAGTAGGAAACAAATATGCTTATGTTTCCTACAGTAGAAAGCCAGTGCACACCAGGGATGTCCTGATGGTCTTCATTTATGAACAGTGGTACATGATTACAAGTCTATGAGCAAACAATGCATTTTGCAGCATGGCGTCCTCAGGCTCACTCTGTATTTATGTTTCATGTTGTGTCAGACGTCATCGGTTTAAAAGCCACATTGCGGCAGACAGCAGTGCATGTCGGTGGGCACATACAGGCTATAAAGACGATAAATAATGCATGTATGTTTTACACGCTCTTTTCCCTGTTAATACACTTCACATGCCTGAGGGTCAGCAGTTTGTTCCAGTCACTTACTTTCAGAGCCATGAGGTCGTTGTTGATGGAGTGGCCCACCAGAACTGCGTCGCCCGGCAACAGCATCCTGATTTTGTCCTGAACATCCCGCAGGGTGGTGGTGATTGGTCGCAACATGGCTGCAGTGATACCAGAGAACCTATCAGGAGGCACCCAGCAGCAGCGGTGGGAACACAGATGTGTTTTAACATTTAAAAATAGTATGTGATGTCAACAAAATAAACTGTATGGAGATGCTTGCATTTACCTTTAGACTTCAAAATACTTAATACTGAAAAAATGCAGTGTCTATAAGATGTAACCAAATACAAATGCCAATAATTATCCCAGACCCAATTCTAAAGCAGGTATAATGTTGGCCATGAGGTTTATTAGGATTTTTTCCCCCATGAAATGAATGCACGTGTACTTGGTGAGGTAGTTGAGGATGCGGTTCTGAGGCTTCACCAGGTCGTCCAGAACACACTTCCCATCACTGTCCACCACAGAAACACGAGCCAACTCATATCCCCTCTCTGTTAGACACTGAAACACAACGTCAACAAGGTGATGAACAGTTTGGAACAACAGTGGACGTGATGTAATAAGTCAAGATGTGATAGCAGTTGCAGAAGACAGACAGTAAACTTTTACACAGGTGTGATTTTGGTTATAGTATAAATACTGTAGGAGAACAGATTTTAACTATCAGTTAACAAAGTGCAAAACAGGCATTAGTGCAACTTTCTGAGTTTTGACCATTAAAGCTGTTGACAACATAGGCAACATCTGTGATATGCAAAATCATGTGAGTGGACGCTTCTCGTTTCCACCATCATGCTACAAATCAGCGGGCAAGGAAATGGAGATGGTGCTCCAGATGTTTCAAAAAGACAAAACAGTTTGGGCAGGGTTTGGTTTTAAAAAGTCTGTCGGATACTCCTGCCACTGGATTCCACGGCAGAAAGAGGGAATTAACTACATAACAGAGAGCATCTCACCATTTCACAGTCAAGTCCATACAGAGGGCTGCTGTCAGTCACGCAGTCGACACTGTCTGTGCACACAAATTCCTCAAAGCCTGGCATTCCTGTGTCAAGAGAAACGAAACAAGAGACTGAGACCACGTCTACACTACACCAATTAAATCTGGAAGCGTATCTCCTCCACACTAAGCTGCCATTTTCATACCCAAAACTAAGCTTTTTAAAGGTGGATATGAGTGGTTGAATCAGTTTTGTATTGACAGCACAACGCTGCATTTTAGTGACTAATTCTTGTAAGAAAATGGTATTTTAAGTTGGCCAAGAACGAAAAAAATTTTTAAAAAAAAGACTGGATAAAAAAAATACCTCTCATTCACAATGGATAAATGTCTGTTTTACCTTCTTAACTAAATGTAAAAACTCATGAATGTTCAGAAACAAAACTCACGCACCCTTCACAGGGTAGTGCTTCTTGATCATCTCCTCCTGGGTGAGAACGTACGCTGTCAGTCCTTTCCTTTGGGTTCCAAACTTGGCGATAACTGGGTGACGTTTCAGTACTGCAACACAATAATACACATGTGCACAATTAAGTACAAGAGCAAAAACACGACAAAAAAACAGAAAAAAACAACAACCACCACTAAGGTAATTACACACAAGACTAACACGCAAAAGTAATACAAAAAAGGCCAATTTATTACGTATGGGCCAAAAAGACACTCGTGACATATTTACACATGATTCTCACCGCTATGCACTTCATTGTCTGGTTTGGAAATAGATGAACAGTCAAGTTCAGGAAGGTCACTGCTGAAAATTCCAGACGCTACGTTGTTAGATGATGGAGTGAAGGTGACCCTCTATAAGTCGGATAAAAAGAAAAACCAAAACATTGATATTTTGAATAGAATTTCTGTCCTTAAATAACTTATGTCAGTGCCTTGAATCCATTCTGGTTACTTACGGTGGTGTATTTGGTCCTGAGGTGTCGCAGCGTGAGGTAGTGTTTGTAAAAGTGGCTCTGCGTCAGACCCTCCACGATCACAACGTTTACACCTTCAACCTTTCTCTGATGGTGGAGACGGCACCAACTAGCAGAGAGAAGACAGCAGGACACGGACAGAAAAGACAGGACCGAAAAGTTATGAGGGCTGCGGTCCGCAAGTCCACAGAGTTTAGTTAAGTGTTTTTATTACTATTGGAGCACAGGGACCCAGTATAAGTTAGTTACTGAGAATTATTTGCAGAGAGCTGACGCAGTAGGTAACACTTTACAGGCATAGTCATTACCTGGGTTGTTTGATGCCACCTGTTTTCCCCAGAGCGGCGTAATGCAGCAGCTCTGTCAGCTCGTTCAATGTAATTGGTTGTTGAAGGCGGTCGAGCGGCACGGAGACCCTCGGCGGGCGAGACAGACGTCCACTCTGCAGCGCTTCATCACCGTACTGCTCGGTTTTTAATCTCTTGGCCTTCTCATGTGCTGTGAAGGCCGAGGTCTTCCTTTTCTTTGTCGTTGCTGCTGCTACTGATGATGATGCTGATGCTGTTGATGATGCTGATGATGATGATGATGATGATGATGATGATGATGACTCCATGTTCAAGCTGATGTTCCAACTTGGTGTTAAAAAAAAAACAACAATTAAAAAAACATTGTGTTATGGACATTAAATGAGAATATAAGTTCACCCTTTGCTCCACTAAAAATGTGTATTGTTTTAAGGTTCACATAAAAGTGAAAAAGCAGAGCCTTGTTTTGGCAAAAAAATAAATAAATAAGCTATCAAATCTCACTAAAGTAATGACCGATATGTGTCACTAACAGAACTGTAATTGCAACTAATGTGTGGATTTCTTTTTCCTTCTAATTATTCTTATTAATTAATTAGTCGAGTGGTTTATAAAATGTAAGAAAACAGTGAAGAGTGTTAATCAGCGTTTCCCAAAGAACAAGATAATGTCGTTAAACATCCTGTTTTGTCCACAATCCAACAGTTTTCCGTTTACTGTCAAAGAGGAGGAAAGAAATCAGGAAACACTCAAATGTTCAAGAAGGATTTTTTTTTAAGGTAATAGTTGACAGCTAATCAGTTAATTGTTGCAGCTCCAGTCTAATTACTAAAAACTGTTAAATATCAAACACTGGCAGGAAACACATTTTCAGTGTTTCATGTTAATTGACTTTTTGATTGTAGATATGTTTGTTTGACTGTATTTTAGACGTGTGCCTTTGAGCTAAAGCAAACAAAAAAAATGTGAGAAAATGTGTTTTTAGTTGAAGAGGCTTTATGCCTTCATGAATAATAGTTTGCAAAACACTCAGTGTGAAGCACTGAAACAAGTAATGTCTTATACAAGGCACTAAAAGGCAGAAAATGTCAGTCAACTGTTCAACATGTTATAAATCCAAAAGTATTTCTAGAAATTAAACAGCATGCTTGTCATTTGGGTTGATGGTCATTATCTGAGCTATACAGCAACATAGTAATTATGGGTATAGTTAGTTTGACTGCAATTACATGATCTTAGCTTTGGGTGACATCATGATGGTAAGCCACCTTTCTCTGGAGATGCATTAAGTTTAATGCTAAGCTAATTCCATATCTGTGTTATTCATATATTTCACATTAAACAAGAGAAACAACAAATATTGACTTTTACATGTGTAGAAGGTGCCATACTAAAGAGTTCATTAAAGGCGAGCTGGTTCTATGTACCCTCTTAGCTAGCTAACACTTTAAAACATAATTTACACTAAAGTACTTTAATAGTTTGGAGTGTTTATAAGTAAAACAGGGAGCTGGGAGTGGCAATAAGAATAAAAATATGTAAATACCAGACATTAGGGGTCCAACTGGGTTAAAAAATGAAGCTTCCTCTACTGCTGGAAGTTAAAAACACATGGGTGAAACACGATACAATATGTGGTGTCAAATCGGAAAATTTTAGCGATACTTCCTGTTTGTAACTTTAAAAATAAAAGTCCAGTAGAAATTACTGTTTGTGCGTGTAGCTTAAACTGCCTACATGTGGGTGTTTTGGTACAAAACACACTTTGAACATCAGTCTGGCTCCACGGTGACATAAAAATCTTCTCCACATGTGCTGTCATGTACACGCTGCGTGATAATCCCAGTGCAGTATGCTCTTATTTTGATAGAAAACGGTAAAAACAGAACACCGCCTCGCTTCCTCCCGGTTTTCCTGTGATCGACTAACTGTGTCTGCAATCGTTCCTAGTGTATTGCAGACACAAATAATCGAGCTCGGAGTGCTAGATGCGCATTTAAAAAAGTAGCGCGGTTTTCCTTCGTTTTAAATGTACAGACAGTGGTATAGCCCTTTGATAGTACCACAGGTTTTTTCAGTGAAGGTATTAATAAAAACTCACCGGTTGAACATCAAGTAATAGCTATGTCTACAAAGAAACTGGCAAAGTAAGTAAATGTAGCCTGTTAGCTAGCTAAACTGCTAATCCAAACAACAAACCGGACAGACAAAGAAGCAAATTATAAAAGCGGTGGATATTTGGATATTTTGCCCAAAAGCGGAGTGTTTAAATGTTGTTTTACGTTTTTTTAACATGATAAAAGTGTTTTTTCATAGTCACATTATACTGAGTAAATATCAGCTTAGTTAGTTTAGTATTGCAATGATGAAAGATGATTCTATTAAATGTTAGTTTTTTACTGAACACAGACCTTTTCATTTCTCCCTTCCTCCACAGGGAATTAGGATTATTGAGGCAGCGGAGTCAGTCCTCCTCTGGGTCAAAGAAATCTGTGGTATCAAGTGAGTGTGACTGTTCCAACTGACAATGCTTACAGTCTTCATGTTTAGATTTGATCCCTTTCGCAGTGTATACACACACACACACACACAGACACACACACTGGCTTGTTGTTGTAAATACTGTCGTCTTTCTTTCAGATCAAACATTTTCATATCTGATTGTGATTGACTTTGAGTCCACTTGCTGGAGAGAGAAAAACAACTACAGCCAGGAAATTAGTAAGTAGCATAGATTATTAGAAAATCTATTTGTTTTCTTTTTCACACATTTTGTCGTTAACATGTGTTTTCTTCCTTCCTATAGTTGAGTTTCCTGCTGTTCTGTTGAACACATCCACAGGAGCGGTCGAGTCTGAGTTTCACACTTATGTTCAACCCCAGGAACACCCCATTCTGTCCGAGTTCTGCACTGAGCTCACTGGGATTACACAGGTGTCTGTCCATAGGGAAAACTATACAAGTACAGAAACACCATTGTAGTTTACACTGTACCTTGTATTGTATTACAATGTGATTTGCACTGTTTACCTTTACATTGCATCTGACAGCTTGATTTCTCTGCCTCATAGACACAAGTTGAAGCAGGGATCCCCCTTCAGATCTGTCTGTCTCGGTTCAGCCGCTGGCTGCAAAACCTTCAGTTAAATATGAAAGTAGTCTTTCCCAACAAACAGCAGAGATGTTCTGCACCTTTGCCTTCTCAGAAACTGTGTACTTTCCTCACGTGGTCAGGTAAAAGTTATTTACATTGGTTGTCATGTACATAAGATCAGTGTTGCTTTGATTTTTGTAAATGATATGGCCTTTGCTGCAATTATTGAAACTAGTGAGACATTAAATGGAAGAAAAATCTGCTAAAACACATTTAATCTTAACGTGCCTCCATCTGTGTTGTTTGTCAGACTGGGATCTTGGAGTTTGTTTGCAGTACGAGTGTAAACGCAAACAGCTTCATAAACCTGATGTTCTCAACAGCTGGATAGACCTGAGGAGCACATACAGGGTAAGTACCAGCTGGCTCACTTTGTCTTTTGTTTAATCTTGTGGTATGTTTTTCATATTTTAAATGATGACAAATTGCCATCTCAGTGGCCTAAGACAGTGAACAACAGTAAATATTTTCTTTTAAGATGATATAAACATCAAATATTTGGTATTTATATTTGAATTAAATAAATATCTAGCTCGTCGGTTGGCTACTTGATCTCATTTGGCCTAATGTCATGTCTGTTCATGCTGTTGGGACTCTAACTCCTTTTTTGTATTTGCAGCTCTTTTACGACAGGAAACCCAAAGGCCTGAACGGAGCGCTTCAAGATCTAGGAATACAGTTTGCTGGGAGAGAACATTCTGGTACAAATACAGTGAACATTCCTTGGTTTAAATCATTCTACACATACACTACCCTAACATGCTCCCCTTGTTTTTCCACTCTCCTGTTTCTCTTTTTTCTCCTCTTTTCTCAGGTCTGGATGACGCCCGAAATACAGCACAGCTGGCAGCAAGAATGATGAGAGATGGGTGTGTAATGAAGATCACCAGGAGCTTGGAGAGGGTGAGTGGCCGTTCGACAACGCCCTTAGTGAACCCCAGCTCCTGAAATCCCAGCCTTCCTCCTCACCTTGCCAAAGAGAAAGTTTTATGCATGGTGAATATACTGAAAGCAAGAATGGATGTTGTTTAGTGCAAAACTAATTGTATGCATCTTTCTGTCATGAAACACTTTGAAGCTTATTTAAATAAAAATGTATAAAACTAAACTTCTGCAGTCATAAACAGTGGCTTCCCTGCCTTTTCTCTAGTTATATACTTTTGTATAGTAGAAAGCAAGATAGCGAAGTATGTAACTCAAAGGAAGTGTAGAGTGTAGGACTAACAACTGCAGGGTTTTAGTGGGAATGTTTTGACAGTACAGTTTTAAGGAAAATCAAATATGGGCTTTATTTTAAATGACCTGCTATACATTTCATCTTTTCTTCTCATAGAACACTGTAATGGTCAAACCCATACTTGGAAACACTAACTGTCCTGCCGACAACAAGAGAGAAAATGGGAACACCAATAAAAAGGACAATACCGTCGCTGCAAGCAAACCCTCATCATCCAAAATTCCTCTCAAGGCTTGTCAAAAACAACCAGGCTTACAGAACATCACTAAGAATTTCTACACAAAGGAAAACACAAGCTCAGTTCAACAATCTGTTCCAATCTGTCAAAGCCTGATCTCACCAAAGACACTGCTCAATGGTGCGACGACGCCGTTGTGGGGACATAGCAGGAGGTCAGTTACAGCAGATTCCTCAGCTATGATAAACTGTACATCACCACACATCAACAACACCAGCCTTGTTCTGTGTTCTACTACTGTAAACTGCTTTTCACATTTACCTCAGCAAAACCAGGCCTCAAACACAGGAGCAACATCCGGACTCGTAGGGGAAGAGGAAGGTGCAGAACTTCTAGCGGAAACAGAGGAGAGGTGTGGTTCTTATGATGATGTGGTTCTGGATGGTGATGAAGGTATTAATGAAACAGATAGAGAATGTGACGCTGAGTACATGTCAAATTTTGACAGTGGATGTTATGAGTGGGACGAAGCCAATAATTCACATTCACCCGGAGGTCAGTTCACTTCAAAGGACAACGTTAGAGAAACGGTGAATGCTGGGAACAACTCTGAAAAGATTACAAGTGATTCATCGGTGACCTCTAACTCTACAAGGACATCAAGATCCCATATTAAAGTCTCTAATAACTTAAATGAAATGATGCAGCATTCAACAGCGTCTACGTCAGATAGTTGTTTTGCTGTGCCTAAAGCTGTGACCTGGAGAAAACCAAATCAGTGCAAAACAGGACTTGGAACCTCCTTACAACTCCAGGGAACATCTACTGGGCTCCATAAAAACTGTAAAACAGACAAGCCTTTTCCATTCAGACCAGAAAACACCTCCACCCCCAATGCCTCCTTTGCGAGGCCCAAACCCGTCATCACACAACCCACAAAACACAAAGAGACTCCCAAGTCATCCTTTGCCATCTACACTGATCCAACAAACCAGGTTGCAGCGCCTCCTCGTGGCTCTCTGTCCACGCCCAAAAATGTCCTCTCCTCTTTGTCAACCAACACACTCTCCTCCCGTACCAATCGTTCGTCCACTTCTATGATAATGAAAGGAGCACACAGGATCACTTCCCCGCTCTGTGCGTGTGGTCGTCGTGCAAAGCGACAGGTTGTGTCAAACGGAGGTCCAAACCACGGCCGAGGGTTTTATTGCTGCCCAGTCCGCCGCTCAGGCAGCGGAGGCAGGGTGGGGAAAGGGTGTGAGTTTTTTAAATGGGAGTCCGCTCTGATGAAGAGTAGTTCAGTGGTCGCTCCTGCTGTCGGTTCCTCTGTTTCACTCTGTCAGATCAACTCCACCCTCCTACATCGTCCACCTCACAGGTCATCACTAAGGAAAAGCTATTAGAGGAACTGCTGCATTAGAAGAAGCCTCTAAAGAGAAGCTCAGAGACATTTTATTTATCCCACTGAAACATATTTGAGAGTTGTCTGGTCATGAAGTAAAACAGCTCTTAAAGTAATGCCTGAATTTAACTGATTGAATTCCAGTTTTGGTTCTTAACCACTGCCAAGAAGAAAAATGATTACCTTGTGTATTTCACATCATTGTAAATGGAAACGGAAATGGAATCTTTCTGCGTGGAGTCTCCATGTTCTCCACGTGCAGCGTGGGTTCTCTCCGGGTTCTCCAGCTTCCTCCCACACAGTCCAAAAACATGTTGAGGTTAATTGGTGATTCTAAATTGTCCATAGGTGTGAATGTGAGTGTGCTTGGTTGTCTGTCTCTAAGTGTAGCCCTGTGATAGACTGGTGACCTGTCCAGGGTGTCTCCTGCCTTCACCCTAAGTCGGCTGGGATAGACTCCAGCCCCCCTGCGACCCTAGTGAGGATGAAGCGGTGTATAGATAATGGATGGATGTATTGGACATTTGTCAAAGTTCAGTGGAGGAAAATGTCATGGTGTTGACTGAAAACGGTTGGTCACTGTGAGCTATGGGGTGGCCCAGGGTGGACATCATCCACACAGACAGTAGAGAAGCCCCTTAGAGGGCGACACAACCACTCATAGAACTACACTTGCATCTATTAACCTAATGTTTTTCTGCAGAGATCTTTGTGCGGAACTATTTGCTCTACGGCCATTGTTCCCACACAGATTCATTTTAACAGCACAGTCAGCCCGCATTTAATTCCTTTCAACCAAACGGTTCAGACCAACCAGAAAATGTTTGCACTGATAATGTAGCAGTTGAAATTATTTGTATTTTTAACACTAAAAAGTGTATAGACAGTATAAGAATGTATCTGCGTTTTATCTGTAAATAAATGCTTTGTACGTGTTCAGTCAGTCTTAAAGAAAACCTGGAAGAGTTCTGGAAATGAGTGGTACAAATTATTGAATAATGTGATATTGAAACACAACCTGCAGCTAAAGGAATGAATTGAAACGCGTGTCCTGTGATGAACAATGACACCGTTGACATAAGTGTCTCACGTGTAACTTTAAATTGTTATTATTTTATGAGCTTTGTCAGTAATTAAAACCTGTTTAAGCAACTGTTTCATGTTTCAATCAATTCCTATTTGCATTGAAAAGCTTATTATACTTGACAATTCCCCTTGCAGAATCAATAAAGCATAATAAAATTTGTTTTCGTGTACTTCTACATGGTAGTCTTGCCTACAGAAGCATATGATACGAGTGAATGTCCAAAGAAATTAGTATTTGGTAAAAAAATAAAATAAACTGATGTGCATAATAGTTTCAGTCTGGCCAGTCCTATACAAATGAAGTATGTTGTATAGAATAGAATAGAATTATTTTATTGTCATCATACACACAGTACAACGAAATTAAAAGACAACTCCAGTGGTGCATATTACGAGTATAAAATATTTGTATTCGAGTATAAAATAAGACGAATACAAATATATAAATATATTTACACAATGAGCCAGTAGGAAGTATGTGTTTTAGTGTAGCCTTTTTTTTAAAAGTGCACTGGGGTTTTTTTTGTTTGTTTGTTTTTGTTTTTAAGAATAATAATAAAAAAAGCAGTAGTAATTCCAACTTGTTTTATTTTGTGTTTTTGTTATTTTCAGCATCGCCTTTCCGCGCGGCTGCATACTTTTGTCCCTCCTGCGCCGCCGTACAGCACCACCAACTAACGTGCTATGTTGTGGCTCCGCCGTCCGTCCTTCCTTCAGTCGGCTCCAACTTGAACACATGTTACACAGACACACCGCAGCGTCCTGAGAACTTCACCGGCTTTTCCCTCTGCGGTCGCTGCGTTCTTCGCAGTCCCTCAAAGCTCGCGTTAGCCTCAGCTGGTGAGCTAACGGCTAACAAAGTCCAGGAGGAAGTCACCAAAAAACAAGCAGGTAGCGGCTGCTGCTTGAGCCTAAACTCACGGTTTCGGTTGTCTCGGAGATTTCCACCCCCCTCTTAAAGCCCCGCTGGAAACAATGTCAGCCGCGCAAAACGACTCCAGGAAGCGGAGCAAGAAGCGCTATGTGGCCGGTCACCACAGCAAGCGGTGGAAGGGCTCCCGGGAGCTGGAGGTGGGCATGGAGGGGATCCTCATCACATGCAACATGAACGAGAGAAAGTGCACCGCCGAGGCCTTCAATCTGCTCAATGAATACGCAGACAAGCTGTACGGGCCCGAGAAGGTGAGTCTGCTGCTGAAGGAGGCACTGCAGCCACAAAACACTGTCCTCATGCACTGGATCTTTTTGCTTCTTGTCTCAGAGTGTTGGAAAGAAAACATCCCAAACGCACGTTTAGGTGTTTAGTTTACTACACTGTTGGACATCAGTTTGAATTAGTGCATATTCAGTGAGATGTTACCACATTTGTATGTTTACGCATTAAATTTCAGCACATTTGTAATGCAAACACACATTTTGAAGCAGGCAAGGTTTAAAGGTCACATCTGTTAGTTTAAAATTTTATACAAAAACGTCCCAGTGATTTCCTATGAAAACTGGAATTTTACAATTAGCTATGCAACTAGTAATTATTTTCATTGCTGATTTTTTTCCCCCTCAGTTAATTAATGAGTTAATATGTCATGCAAATTATGAAAAGTGTTTTTCCAAATCCAAAAATAACCTTTTCAAATGCTTGTTTGCTTCACAACCCAAAGTTTACCGTCATAAAGCAGTAAAGAAACCAGACAATATTCTAAATTAACAAACTAGAATTAAAGGATTTTTACTCATTTTAACCGTGACTCAAACAGTTATAACAGTAGTTGCAAATTAATTCTGGTGACAACTAACTGATTGGTTGATTTATCGTTTCAGCTCAATTCACAATAATAAAGGCTGATTTCCCAAAATAGATATTTTCTCCGACTGAACCTGAAATGTACACTCCAGCAGCACTTTTCAGACTTTCCAGTTTTATTCCTTGTCTATCGTCTAAATGTTTTTT